GAGTATAACATTATAACATGATATAAAACTAAAAAGTTGATTTTACATGATATTGCCCCTTTAAAAAGTGTAGAGCAGTGGTCTTCAGTTAATACCCATTGGGCCTGTTAAGCCTTCATTTTGTTCCGACTCTCAGTCAATACTTGCAGTTYAATGTGACACAAAGTTCAAATTCCACTTTGTCCTTATTCTGTAAAAATATTTGCTTTTGGCTCTTGTATTAACTGTACTTTTCTTTCTCAACATATTTACACKTTGAACTACAGACTTCATAATATATTTCATACAGCCAGGTTTTTTCTACTTAATAGGGGCATTATGCCATAATCCCAGTTTTTGGAGCCCTGATATAGACACTGCAGCATTTTTGGGTCAAAATAAAACATTCTCAAGAGGAAAAGGCCAAAAAGTAGGTTTTATTTACAAAATGACCACATTTCAGTTCCTTGTTTCCAGTAGAAATCCCCCGTTGAACAGCACTGCCCATTTGTTTTTTTACTTAAAAGATGACCCGTGGCTGYGATCCTTGAAGCTGTAGATGAAACGCTTACATGCGCAGCCACACAAACACGACTGAGGACACATCCTGTCCAAATTAACTCTGGTAAAAGTAGAGCGTTACTGCACTCCCGAGACCATTATACATGATTTATCCTAAAGTCAGAGCTGGTGTTGCTACAAACAAATTCAAGCTTTGGTTTATTAATGACTCCTGCATCGCGGATCTTTCAAGTCATCTCAGATGCTATTTTCATACAGTCAGTGTTTATTCATGGGTTTGCAACTTCTCCTTTTAGTTCAAAAACTGTTATGCAGCCCTGCCTCTCAACGTGATGCGGGTTCTCTTTTCTTTCAGCTTCTCTCTGAGCCGAGTCTGCTCTCATGGCACCGCTGGAGGAAGTGATTAACGCCTCTTTCTGCAGTTTGACGGAAAATAAAAACCTTACTTTTTTTTCAAAGGCGTGTGCACACGCACACAGAAACAAACATTTACTTCTACAAATTTTGACAGTGTTTTTCATTTCTCCACTTCAAAGCACACAGTTCTTTGCCAGAACATCCCAAACTGGTTTATCATTGACTAATATATTTTTTTCTTACCAAAAACCTTGAACACAGAATCCAAAGCAAGTACATCATGAATTAATCTCACATTATTTGCTTTTATTTATATATTTTTTTTACCACTGCACCTTTGTTTCCTTTTTGCTTTTTTGCTCACAAACCCTTTCCAGAGACACGTCCCACTACAGTCTCGTTTAAAACTGTATGCTAATCCATGTTTGGATTGGAAGCTAACAGGATTTTTCTTGCAGCTAATACCCATGACATAATATGTCATTGCAGGGAYGCTRCAAGCAAAGTCACTTATTTTGAGCKTTGCACTCATGTGATAAATTCAGTCAGAATCCTCCAACACAGTCAGAAAATTAAACTGCCTTTTAACTAACTGCACATTGTGTCTTATACTTTTAAAAATCCTGTTTTTTTAAATAAAAATGACTGAATAAAAATAGAAAAAAGTATAGTTAAATAACTGAACATTTTAGAAATTTCAAGTTCTCAAATGGCACCATTTCAAATATATTCAAATATAAATAATCAGAAAATATGGAAAAGTGTTGCTGGTAATGTATGTTTATACTCTGATAAATACAAATGAAGAAAAAAACAATAAAACACGAAGAACTTGTTGGAGAAAGGTGCTGCGTTTAATAAAGTGTCCTTCAGGTGTGATCTTTGGAGTGTTGAGTCCTCMAGTCAGCTGCGATGCCTTCCAGTGGCAATAATCAGAGCCGTGTGAAGCAGCTGAGGCTCAGATGGGCCACATAAGGAGACTGTTCTGTTTGATGGTGGGGACTGAGAGGGTGACAAATGAGCAGAGAGGGACAGAGCCTTTGGGATGAGGCAAGGTCACAGTAACGCTGTGGAGGAGCGTATTCAGAGACGACTGCACAGTTAGATGTGTGAGGCATTCGGGATTAAAGTCAGTCGATTTTATTTGGAGTTTAATGCATTTTGTTTCCTGAGAGATGAGATAAATTCAAATGTTATTAGTGGTTTTAGAGGCAACACTTACATATGATGCTTTTAAATCTTTCCTTTTAACATTTAAAACACCCAGTTGGGGTCTATAAAAAGTGGAACYGCATTGCTTTGTAACTCCACAATCCTCTCTTTCACCTTTTTTAAGCTTTGTCTCAAATCAGCTCGTTTTGAGGCTGTTTCTTTACATTCAAACAAGGTGCCCCACCCMCTACGAGAGAGGGAGGGGTTATGATTATATGGGAGTGTAGAAACCTTTTCCCCCTTTTTTACTAATTAAATTAAAAGATGCCAACAACAGAAGACTTGTCCATCCAGCCTTACATGCTGGAGCCAGAGTCTGACCCAGAAGAGAATGAAGACCACCAAATGGTAGTTAGTAAGTCCAGATCTCATATGTCTGTTTTGTTGCAAATTCTGTGAAGTAATAGTTCATTAAAACCTATGTCTGACAAGAAAACAGGAGGCGACATCTTTTATTTGTATCCCAGTTGCATGTGCAGGAATTTGCCTCCTAAGCTGAAACAAAAGGGGTGTTTATAAGACTGTAGGGTTTCAGAACAAATTGGTGTCTGTGCTTATCACAAACACAACTGTGTGACATTTAAAAGGAATAAAAGGCTGCTAGGCTCTACAGACTTGTTTTACTTTTTGCCTGAGGCATTCTTCAAAAGCTATGCATCAAATACTGGGAGTTTGGATCCAATTCAAACCGACAATGGGCTTAATAATGATTAGCATTGATGCTGAATGTAAGTGCTTTAGTGTGAGAGTGTATGCGTGTGCGTCTTTGTGTTTAAGTTCAAACAAACCAAACCTCAACAGATTAAAAAAGAYTTACATTTAGTTATTGATCTTGCAGTTTGGCTGTAATGTAGCCCAGCACAGCTCCATTACCCTTTTGTCTTCTGTGGTCATGACTGACCTCAAGGAAAAAAGTGAACAAATGCATGCAATTCATATGGCTAAATGGTGAAATAACAACAAGACACAGTCTCACACCTGGCATTAGTCAATCTCTAACAGATTGTTCTTTTCAGTYCTCTGTACGATATATAAGATAACCAGACTATGCAGCATTTTGTGAGAATTAGACAATAATGGCCAGCTTTCATACACAACAAGATGTGACACATCTCTTCCATAGCCAGAATTAAGGTGCTTCTTTTCATCCATTTTACTACATTTTAAAGTACAATGACACCTGCTTATGCAGAGCTGCTCATGCCTAAAACAGCAGGTCCTGAGCCATATAATCTCTCCAACAAAAGCTCCTCAGAGCGTTACACGTCACCATATTTTCACCGTCTAACATATCAAGCCACGATTGTTCAATTGTTATATCCTTTTGCTTGACAGGTGTAAGAATGAAGTTGGTGTGATTCACCTCACCTGTCACTGATTCTAATATTGTGGATAATCAGTGTATATTACACCATACTGTACTGTACCTACGCAGTGTGACAAACCACTCAGACCCATTTTCTAAATATAATTACTTTCAGACTGGATGAAGGGTGATCTACTTCATTTTTATGAAAAGATTCTGACAGACTATTGCTACACAGTAAATCTTTCCTTTATTTGTAGGCTTTGCTGTTACAGATAGCAAAGCCAAGGAACAGAGGGCTCATGAAACTAAAACACCAAGTTATTGGAGCAAATATCTGACTTATATACAAAAATATAGACTAATCATGCTTTTAAATCCTTCTTTTTCACATTTAAATCATTCAGTTGGGGTCTGTATAAAGTGCTTTGGTTGGAATTCCTCTCTACTGTAACTCCACAAGCCCCTCTTTCATCACTTTCCTGAGGGGTGTCTCAGATCAACTCATTTCGAGGCTGTCTCTTTAAAACATTCACACCATGCCCCCCTCCAGCTTCCAGAATGGTCCATTCCAGTTTGACAGAGAGGTTTACGACTATATAACAGCCAACATGTTGGAGCCAGAGTCTGACCCAGAGCCAGAGGAGAAGGAAGACCACCAAATTGTTGCTGGTAAATCCAGGCCTTAATTGGCAGTTCTAGAGCATATACTGTGATGTTATAGTTCAGAAAACAGCATAGAAAATAGAAAAAAACTGGACAGGTTGAAAAATATAACCCAAAAAGAATGTAAAGATCTCTTTGCAGCACCGGGAGAAACTAAATTCCACTTTTCTGACCTCCTAAAAACTCAAAGTACACAACAAAATATATTTATCAGCTAAAAAAATAAAGTACATTTTGCGGACATGTCCCCTTTAAAAGTGTGCATCATATCACATCACTTCAACATGGTCAACTATGGCATGTTACTCTCTTATACTATCTGAGATAAACTTTTGGTACAGGCTGCGATCATTACACTTTATCTTTTGCAGAGCTGGTCTGCAAGAATACATAACACAACCTAAACAGATAATCCATGTTTCGTAGTTTATCAGCCAAAAAGACTTAATTGATCAGCAAAGTCAATTTCCTTCATACATATGCCAGTAAAAAAAAGTCAAGTCATAACATTCCCTTTTTTTGGCTGTTTACAGAGACCCAACTGTCTTATTCAAGCTTGTGCTCCTCGTTGACTGCTGTGGTAAAGAGTCAAAAAAGCATCTCTGATTGCGACATGCAAACAAGACAAGATAATTAAAGTAAATTTTCTAAGTTTAGTGATGTTAAATAGCTACTGATTACTCTTGATCACACTTGGTAAAAAAAAGTTATCTAATGCACTGCTGTATTTAATGTTAGGAAGAGGTCTCACGATGTTTCTTTTTTGCGCTGAGTGGGAAGTTTTGCTAGTCTATTAAATGTAGCTTATAAATACAGCAATAAAAGTAATCATTGGATCGCCTGTTGTAAATCATCAAGCTCACTGAGATGGTAAGGCTAAGCTGCACTTGTTTTGCTTGTTTGAGGTGTGAGAATATTATAATAAAATGTAACGCTGGAGGATGAGAGGGAGACAAGAGAACGTGGTTGAACTGTGTAATCAAAACAAGAAGGAAGGAGAAACCGAGGAGATACAGGTGGCACCACATCACAGAGGTGAAACTGAACGAGTTTTAATAAAAACAAAACATTTCTGACAAAGGACTTCATAACGTATCTKTTTTTACAACACATTAGAATTTTTTACCCCTTTCAATTTAATCCCCAGTTTTTACATGTGTCAGTTATTTCAGTTCCACCAGCAGCCGTTTGACAGAAACAGGGATATGAGGCATAGAAAGGAAGTCAATGCAACATGTTGCACATTTCGTAAACATAACAGAACTTATTTAATAATAATATTAAGAAAAAGATGTGATAACGTATTGCTCTGCTCTGTTACATGCCGTGTTTTCATCCAATTTTGATGCAAATTTTGAGCGAACTTTTAAAATGTCGCAAAATAAGAAATGTGCATCAGACGTGTTTCCATCAACTAGCTTGGAGTAAAGTGTAATTATGTCAGATGTTGACATTACGCACGGCTGTAGTAAGCAGGAAGTAAAGTCACAAACTCACATGGACTACACATCTCAGGACAATGGAGAGAAATTTCTATTATTAAGAAAGTTGTAATTATTCTGTCAAATCAACTAGTAATGGTGATGTTACATGCTGTCGGGAGGCTTAGAAAAATAAATGCAATTCTCCTCATGTTACAGGAATATCCTGGAAAAAGCAAAGAGCGGGAGGAGGGTCCAGTTGCAGCTGCTACAATTACTGCCTGGTGAACAACAGCTTGATCGAGGTAAATGTTCACTACGTCAGAACTTATTCGGCAAATGTGTTCCCATCCCCCATTTTGCACATGTGAAAATCCAAAAAACCACCTCAAGCGAGTGTAAAAGCTTTTTGCAAAGTTTTTGGGACTTTTGCCACTTCCATCCACCTTTTCTTGTCTTCTATATCAGGAACATGCTAGGTTTGCCTGTCCTGCAGCACTAAAGGTTTGTGGTGGGAGACTGAAGACTATTAGGCTCTGTTTTGCTGTATTGTTTCTTTTGTTTGGCACAAAATCACATCC